TCTTAATGTGGCTGTTGAAATTCAGGTCTGAGTCCATGACTACACCAAGATTTCTGGCTTGGTTTGTGCTTTTTAACATTACAGATTGAAGCTGAGCGCTGACTTTTAATCGTTCTTCTTCTTTGGCTCCAAAAACAATTACTTCAGTTTTATCTTTGTTCAGTTGAAGATAATTCTGGCACATCCAATCATTGATTTGTTCAATGCATTTACTCAATGCTTGTATTGGACCATACTCCCTGGTGATATGGTTATGTAGATCTGTGTGTCATCTGCATAATTATGGGAAGATATCTTTGAGCCAGTGGGAGCATCTAGATGTTGAACAGAAGAGGCCCCAGAATGGAGCCTTGGGGAACTCCATCCTCAGATGTGTAATTACCTATAGACACAAAGTAGTCTCTGTCCTTTACGTAGGATTCAAACCAGTTTAGTACAGTTCCAGAAAGTCCCACCCAGTTTTTCAGTCAGTCTAGTAATATGGTGTGGTCGACTGTGTCGAATGCTGCACTAAGATCCAGTAACACTAAAACTGAAATTCTGCCACTGTCTGTGTTTAAGTAGATGTCACTGAAGGCCTTAACAAGAACAGTCTCAGTGCTGTGGTTAAACATCATTAGCTCGGTGTGAGAGCTGAACTGACCGGCGGATAGGTTCTGGATGACCACGGCAGCAGCAGTGTGGAAGATGATGTCAGCACCGTCGTTGAGGTAATGCAGGTTGTTGCGACAGTCGAAGCCTCTGTAGCCAAAGACGTGCTCCAGCACCAGCTCCTGAAAAACAAGACACCATCAGCCGCTTGAAATGAAGTCATATGTCGGCGGTGTTAACGAGGCTCGTACTGACCTCCACCACCTTCTTCTTCTTGGTCACGTTGTTCTTCAGCAGTTTGTCGGGCAGCGGGGCAGCTCGACTTACTGGAGGCCTGTACAGGAAACAGATTCACGAACAGTTCAGATACAGAAACACTGTGTGTCCGTGTGTGTGTGTGTGTGTGTGTGTGCGGGTATGTGTGTGTGGGTGTGATCACCTCTCCTCCACAGGAAGCTCTTTGTGCTGCAGGTGAGGTCTGGTTCCTGTCATGTTCCTGATGCTGGCAGAGTAGATCTTGGTGATGTAGTCCACCACCTTCTCCCGTGCCACGTCGCTGTCGTACCCTGAAAACACAACAACCGACACAAGTCAGAAACAGAGGGCTCTGTGGGGACTGAGCACCTGCTGCAGCAAGCCAACACGCTGTCTGTGGTCATTTTGACTTGACCAGCAGACTTCACTACAAGCTGATTGGCTGTTGAAACAGGTGACGTGCTTTAAAACCAGCCGCCGGCCATTTGACCAGCTGAGTGTCAGGTGACATCATCAGCCGGCTTGAGTCCAGCTCAGACCGGCCAGTTCACACCGCTGACACTTTTCTCAAATGGTTTCGTCTCGTCATGAATCTTTGGTCTAAACTGGACTTAAAGGGATAGTGCACCCAAAAATGAAAATTCAGCCATTATCTACTCACCCATATGCCGAGGGAGGCTCAGGTGAAGTTTTAGAGTCCTCACATCACTT